ATTCCCAGATGTTTCGCCGGCATCGTCAGTGAGTCTTGTCACTCTCAGCACCCCACTACAACTCGTCAGAGACAATTAAAGCCGCTCCTTTGACCAAATGTGTGCTAAACAATCATGGTATCATTCCTTTCACCTTGGGCTAATCACCAATTCTATATCCTTGTATCACCCCTTCACTATCACAATTTTTACTTGCTTATGTAAATGTGGTATGGTGTGCGCTTTTGAGCGCATCAAATGAGAACTCTCGGCACCTCATATGGGCTTTCTTATTCCTTTACCCATGTGCTGAAAATGTCTATCAGATTCTGCCATATTGGTTCGCAGTCCTACTTCGATAGGTCTCCCTCTGGCCACGTAGGATCCGTCTGCTATCTCCCTGGTTCAAGTCTTTCAATCGACACCTGCCATGCTATTTGTGCTACTCGAGACGTTATTTTCCCCACTCTGCGTCTGGGAGACTAAATTAAGGCTAAAGAACCCGCTGAATTCTCATGATCAAACCTATGGTTCATGGACCACGTCTGTGTTTAAATATGTATACTGTTATCCAATTAGCTCTAATCTTCGCTGCATTTTTTTTCCTTCTATCCATAGTGCCAAGGGTATGACTTGCTATGCCCTAGTCTCTTGTGTGCCAGCTCACAAATGTTGTCCTATATAGAACCTAATCAAGACAAGTAGAACTCAGTATTTGTGGGTCAAAAAACAAGAGACTAGAGCATAGCAAATCATAGCACAAATAGCGGAGCAATGTCGATTGAAATACTTGAACCAGGGAGAATGCAGACGGATCCTACGTGGCCAGAGGGAGACCTATCGATTAGACCTATCGAAGTTGGACTGCGAAACAATATAGCAGAAGCTGATAGACATTCCCAGCACATGAGTCAAAGGAATGAGAAATCCCGTATGTGTGAAGAGTTTTCATGAAATCAGCTCAAAAAGGCACACCATACCGCACTTAAATAGGCAAATAAAAAAAATTTTGTGATAGTGAAGGAGTGATACGAGGATATAGGATTGGTGATTAGCCCAAGGTGAAAAAAGAGATACCACGATTATTTAACAGACAATTGATCAAAGGAGCGGCTTCACTTGTCTCTTTGACGAGTTGTAGTATGGTGATAAGAGTGGCAAGAATCACTGACGATGCTTGAGAATGACTGGGAATGTACCACATCCACAGTTCGATTTTGGAAATTATCATACATAAAATGGACTACGGAGTAGATGCGTTCCTCTAAGCCTTCCTACCAATATGACCAAGTTGCAAAAATAAAGTCAAATAACTTCTATACATGATTACTTTATAATTTTGCAGCATGGAAGAGTTATATTACACAATTTCGTATTTATAACTAATCGACGCGAAAGTATTATTAGAGTAAGAATGGAATTAGGTAAGAAGAAAAGTAAACATCTTATGGATGTTTTGGTCATTAAATGATGGTTTATATAAAGCACCAGGCATATACTTGTCCCAATATACCTTTACTTTCTAAGAAGCTTCTACACGATCATGTGTCAATTTTGCTAGGCGGAACAGTCGTCTTATTCGTAAATGTTGCTGAAAAAAGGTTGTAGAGGCTGCTGTAAAAGGAACCAGGTGAAGAATAATCTTGACGAACTGGCAAACAAATAAATTGAGCCGGAGAACCAAAAATGGAGTATATTTATCAAATGATCCTTGCCAACGACTAAATCATGAAAGTGAGAAGGAATCAAATATACAACATTTTACCGACAAACCTAGACACGACAATTAGCTTGATATGGGTATAAAATAATTCTTTTTGGATAAATGAATAGTTAAGGAAGTATAAATGATGGGGTACTGAGACAGAAATATAGGTGGATATGAGAGAAATGACATATTTGCATTAGGCGGATAAATGTGGTTGACTTGATAGCAATTTAATTAAACGTGGATGGGAGCTTCGGATGGGAGATCTATGTGATTAATCAGATAATAAAATCTGATGAACCTCTGGGATTGTACTAGGTCCGATTTTAAAAGAATACAAGGAGTAACGATGACGAAGTAGTACGGAGTAACATCCGCGAAATCCATCTGAATGCACAAAGTTGTGAAAACGTTGTTAATTCACCACAATCCATTGAAACGAACTAATATATTAACTAATAAACAACGATTTATGTTCATCATATTTCGTTTAAGAAGATGAGGGACTGGTAGTTGAATTTTCTTACAATCATATAAGTGGAGCTGACGTTTCCATAGAATATCACAGCCTTGCATTTCCAAAATGTGCTCTTATCCAAGGTGAACTGCAGTTTGGACCTCGCATAGGTCTTATCAACACCCCCAGCGGGATTCGAACCATGACAGTGCAGAGTGGAATCTAGACTCATTGACCACTACGCCACATTGCCACGAGTTTCCTTGGATCACAGGGCAGATGCGAATTTCAAGGTCAGGCATATTCCATATCACATTCTATGTTGGGATAGTCGATCAAGTAAACTTATATTTCTTATAGAAATCGACTAAATAACTTTTTTCGTTAGTGAGTAGATTTTTTGAGGCTACAAGTAAATCAGATATGAGTATTGTTCACACAATTTTGTTAAAGGTGATGAAGGACCTACTCACTAATGATAAAAGTAATGTCGTCAATTGCTATAGCAAATATACGTTTGCTTTATCGACAATCCCATCAGAGGATGTGACATGGGAAAATGCCTGACCTTCCTTAAAATTCACACTTGCTCTGTAAACCAAGGGGACTCGTGTCAATGTGGCGTATTGGTTAACGTGTCGAGATTACACGCTGCACTGTCATGGTTCGACTTCCGCTGGTGGTGTTGACAAGACTTAGATGAGATCGAAACGGCAGTCCACCCTGGAGGAGAACACCTTTTAGGAAAGCAAGGCTATGTGAAACTCACTGGAAACGTCAGCTCTACTCATATAATTGTGGTAAAATTCAACTACCAGACCTTCATAACTATAAACGAAATAGAGTGAACACAACTCAGATAACTGATTTACTGATAGTCTCTAAATCTACTCATTAACGAAAATAATAACCAACAACCATATTATCTTGCTCATATTTGCTACTATGATGCTAATGTTTGTTTGTTGCAGAATAAAGGCATGATAAATTACAAAGAACACTGCTACAGTTAAAGAAGGTTATGATGGATAGGTTTGAAAAAACATCTTAGGACAAAGCAAGCAAACTAGAAACAAATACTCTGTATACCTGTTTTCTGAGAGGAGAGGCAATCATCCAGAGTCATGGCGTCCATTTGTTGACTCAACTTGTCATCATTCCCTCCCGTTGAAGTTTTGTGGGTTGATATTAAGGGCTGAGGGTTGTTGCCGAACCCAATATAGTTGATTTCAGCCAAGTAAATCATAGCACCGCAGTCACCACCTCTAGCTGCCTCAGTAATAAGCAGGAGGCCTTTAAATGGCGCCTCCAAAGGATCTGGCTGTTATTCAAATTAATACAATTAAAAAGCAGAGAATAGGCAAAACTAAAAGGTAACTGGAATAATGTAATGTTGATAAATAGTTGTAAAAGTGAAAAAAATAGAAGCAAATAAAGGATAAATAATAGAATATAGAGGTTGAGGAATACTAGCTTTTAATAAAAGGCTGAATAAAGGGAGGCTGACAATAAATAAACGTTTGTAAGTCGGCAATACTCAGAAAGACCATTCTCATCGCCTTTCTAATTGAATAAAGCAGTTTTAGATACGAAGCAGAGAATAAGATATGATTGTCATTCTTGGATGGTTTGATCAATAAAGAGTTGATTAAAAATGCAACTAGTATATACTTATATTCCACTAACAAATGCA